AATAGCCAATATAAACTTTTTTGTTTCGGGAGCTCCAAAAAATATGCATAGTGGTGTAGGGTTTCATATAGTTCTTTTTCGTTTAAGCCACTGGCTCTTTGGATAATTTATGTCAAAGTAATCTTATGTTTTTTTCAGTTTTTTTTACTAAAACGGTCATTTAGTTGTCTCAAAAATATTTCTATACTTTTCACCATTTTGAAGGAACTTGAAAATTAAAAAAAATCCGTAGAAAAATGTCACTCAAATGTAATCCCTTATATGGGGCTATACAAAGACGTGATCCTTCATAAGTAATTTTTTGTTAAAGATTGCAGTACTCATTACGGACTTTAAATACAACATTTGAAACAATTCTGGTAAAGAATGTCGGTAAAATCATCAAAATACCGAATATTGGGAGGTACTGTTATATGGGGGCTATACGTAGACATGGACCTGCATGGACACATATTGTAGTAGCCATCACAAACTTCAACTACGAAAATTTGAAACAATTCTTGCTAGTAATATCGCTAAAGTCATCAAAATGCCGAATATCGGGAGGTATCGTTATATGGGGCTATGTGTAGACGTGGACCTGTATACGTGATTTTTTGTCATAGGCAGTAGTACCAATTTCGAACTTACGAAATACGATATTTGAAATAATTTCTGTAAAAATATCTCTAAAGTCATCAGAATACCGAATATTGGGGGTTACCGTTATGTATCTCTAAACGCACTAAAAGTGCTTTCCACTCAAACCGCTTCTAAATACATTGTACGAATTCTGCTAGACCATCGACCTGTGCAATTTAAATGACGAACAATAAATAAATGTTGTAACAACAATTACACCTAATTACCACAACAACATGCCAAGTAATTTATTTAGTGATGACGACGGTCACTGTCTGTCTCCGACTAATGATGCTCTCTTTACAAACACAGAATGAGAAAAACTATTTCTTTAAAGACTGGAAATTACTGTCAAATAGACGTGGGGTTGCCAGTGCGACGATGGAGCTAATAGCTATTCATGGTGGAAGAGCGGCGGTTGGGGGTGTTGCATTGGTTGGGTTGAAGTTGTGCGCGCATGCGCATATCCCCCATTCCCCAGCCGACACAACTGGCACTACAACAAAACAAGGCATAGTATGTTGTATGCCACGGAACCCCAACAGCAACAGCAACAACAACAACGACAGACGACAACAAATTACATTATGGCCTGCTGATGTTTTTGTGATTGTTTGGTGGCGGCCTGTGAATGCTGTTGATTTCTTTTGTGAAAATTATTTGCAGTTGGGCTTTTCAAGTTTTTTCCTTTTGTTTTTGTTTTTTTTTTCTGTCTGATTACTCTTTCATATTCTTGATTGCCAAGGCATTGCAGTTGTTGTTATTTGGACAGTGTTACATTATATTACTAATGCTGTTACATGCTTGGTAGTTGGAAGTTGTTGTTATTGCTGTTGCTGCTGCTGGTGTTGCACTTGGTTCGCAGCTGCAAGTTTTAAAAAATGTTTACATTGTCGGCACTTTTTATTATTTGTTTTCGCTGTTTTTGTGTGTGTGTGTGAATTTTTTCCATTGCTTTTGTTTTTGTTGCTATGTGTTTGTTTGTTTTGCTTCGGTGTCGTCAGATGTGTGCTAGTATTCTCTTGTCCTGATGCAAACGGAGTGAATGAAAAGTGGACAGGTATGTGAATAATTTGCGATGATATATAAAATTATTGTTATATGAAGGTTTTATACTCAATATCTGTACTGAAACCGCTTAAAAATTCAGCAATTGAACAAAGTACATTCCAAAGGATTTTCTATTTTTATACATTCAGGCCATATGGCTAGATTCTATCTTTGATACGGCCAAAACGTGCCTCATCGATATAACGGTCTTATAACCTAGGTCTCTTTGGACCAAATTTGTTTCAGGGCATTTAGAGTCGATCTAGCGATGTCCGTCCGTCTGACCGTCCGTAAATATTCAATGTTCTGCCAACGAAACTAGAATCCATTATGAACTACAAATACCAATTTTTAGACAAAGCCGTCGAAAAATGTGGCAAAAAGCATCAGAACATTTAATATTGGGAGGACCATTATATGGGTTCAATGCCAAAACGTGGACCTATCTCTACTATGTTCCGCCATCGGAGCTAGAACCCATTACAAAAAAAAAAAAAAAACAAATACCAATTTTAAGACAAATTGGAGAAAAAATGTGGCAAAAATGATCAAAATACCGATTATCGGGGAGTACTATTATGTGGGGCTATACGAAAATGTGGACCTATATGTATACTGTTCCGCCACCGAAGCTAGAACCCATTATGCCTGAAAATACAAATTTAAAGACAAATCCGTGCAAAAATGTGGCAAAATCATCAAAATACCGAATATCGGGAGGTTCTGTTATATGGGGGCTACACCAAAACGATATATTTAATTTCCAATACTAATCATTCTCGACATAATACAAATTGTTCTGCCAAATTTTGAAGCTCTACATCAAATAATGTAGGCTGCATTGTGATTTCAAGAGACAGACGGATAGACAGACGGACATCGTTAAATCGACATAGAATTTTATGCTGATCATGAATATATATACTTTATGGGTTTAACGACGAATATTTAGGGATGTTACAAACAGAATGACAAATTTAATATACCCTTCATTTCAAGGCGGAGGATATAAAAAGACTTTTTTATTTTCCACAAATTTAGGAAATATTCAGAATTTTTTTCAATTTTTCTTATAAAATTACCGTTCATTAGCCAGTCTAGGTCCTGGAAAATGCTAACTGGATTCGATAATGCCTGGCTGGTAGATCAAATCCATCCAAGAGTTTTGGGTTCTTATGCCAAACTTTTTTTAGGACATTTATATTTATATAACCTTGGCCACTTTCAAAGGGACCAAAATTGTTGTGATATATACAGGATGAGATGAAAAAACTGCAACCAACTTTAGACTGTTGTCATTTCTAAGTCACTCGTCCAACAGCTGTTAAAATTATTCCAGTGACAGCTCATAATATTGTTTACAAGCGTACAAATGCATTTAGGTGATTATTTTCCAAAAAAAAAGGTTGTTCGTGATGGAATTCAAGCGTGATAGTGTGATTTCTTTATATTTGGCTGGAAAACCACAAGTGGCTATCGTTAGAGCACTCCAGCATTTAAATGTGAATAAATCCTTTGTGTCTCGTACCATCTCTCGTTACCGGGATACTGGTAGCGTAGCCCGACGTAGAGGAAGTGGACGCAGAAAATAGCAACATCAGCAGAAATGGTTCGAAAAGTAAAGAAGCGACTTGATCGAAACCAGCGTCGCAGTGGCCGGCAATATTCCATTCGGTGCAAAAACTTACACCGCAACAAAAAGAAAATAGACTCAAAAAGAGCTAAAGAATTGCTTCGTTTGGCCGAAAGTGGTGAACAGCCGAATTTGGTTTACTTCGATGAGAAAACATTCGTTGTTCAGCAGTAAGTAAACTAACAAAATGATAGTGTTTACTTGCCAAAGAGGTCAGCTGAAAATGTGCACCGTCGGTGGGCCACCAGAACTCAAGCGCCGGCCATGATGATGGTGTGGGCCGCCATAACAGCCGATGGTCGCTCTCTTATCATACCAATCGACCGTGGCATCAGAATAAATACCAAATATTATCGCGAGAATATTCTGGGCACGCAAACATTTTGGCCGCAGACCTTGGACATTCCAACAGGACTCAGCACCATCGAACTCAGAACGTGCCACCCAAGAATGGCTGCAAAATGTGGTTCCTCGCATTACGAACAAACCTAAGCTTATTCTAAATGATGATGCTTTTTCCGACATTTTTGCTTTCATTCAATAAAATTTAAAAAAAATGTAAAAATTATGGGTTCTTTGACTTTTTTGCAGTTTTTCATCTCACACTGTATATGGAAGCTATATCCAAATCTGAACCGAACTCGATCAAATTTGGCTAAAATATTTCTGAGCTGTAAATGATATATTTTTTACCAAATATTGTTGTTACAGAGTGCATATTACGGTTGCGGAGGACAAAAATAACAAATCGGGTGAACAAAATATATGGGATCTATGGCTATATCTGAACCGATTTTTATCATATTTGGCCCACTTTTTTCCAGGCTTAATTTGGTCGTATGTGCGAAATTCCTGATATCAGACGTTCGGTGCACAATCAAAGGCAAATCGGACGAAGATATATATGGGAGCTATATCTAAATTTTGATCGATTATCTCCAATTTCAATAGGGTTCATCCTTGGGTCAAAGAAACAAAATTTCATCTGGATCGGACAATAAATGCGACCTGTACTTTGTTTACAAAATACATGGACAGACGTGCATAAATCGACTCAGAATCTGATTCTGTGCAAATCATCAAAAGAACCAATGGGTCTATCTCGTTTCCTTTTGCCTGTTACAAAGAAATGCACAAAGACATAATGCCGTGACCACCTTGTGAGATAGGGTAAACACACCTTGACTTTAGTTATTGTAAGGGTTTTGGCCATATTTTCAATCGATTTGGCTAAAATGCTATTAGTCATATGATTGAGGGTATAATTTGCCACACGAGATTTATGTGTAATGAAATATGAATATGTTGCTAGAACACAAATTCTACCAAAGCATTTCAGCCAAATCTCCATAATAAAGGAAATCCCCTAAAGTCGTTACTTCGGAATTTGTTTTTGTTTTCCTGGTGCTGTTTTCCATAAATTCTAAATCCCGGAATTTGCATTCCTGGTGATTTTTTCACATTTTGACATAATTTGAGTACAATGGAGTTTATCCCACTAAATATTATTCCCATAATAAGTATACCTTTAATTTGAATTATGTAAATTCGATTGTTTTCTTTTTTCTTGTTACTGTTATTATTTTCATAACAAAATCTGCTGTTCTTCAATTTGTATAAATAACAAATACCAATTAAATTTCTTAAATATTTAACATTAATTTGTTTTTTCTTTTTCTGCTTTATCTCATTACAGGTCTTGTCGGCATTGGATATACTACAGCCACCTCATTTGGATTTCTTCCAAGAAATGTAAACGTCTTGTTTTTTTTGTTCTTCTCCTTTTGTTTTTGTTTGCCATATTTAAAAATAAATATGCAAAGGAAATGTTCTTCACATCCTCCCACCCTTGGCATATCCTTGGATTACCATGATTGTATACAATCATTGTGTATATTGTATTTTTAAGTACCAAGGATATTGCCGAGCATAAGAAAGGGGAGGGGAGGAAGGAGAGGATTTTTTAAGAATAAAAGCTCCAAAGGTCTTACGCATTAAGTCGAAACATTTAACTTTATGCTTCCAATTGAAAGAAAAGAAACTGCGTGGAAAAACTGGGAAGTAAAAAGTGGTGAAGTTTAATTGGTACATTTTTCTGCGTTTTTTTTTTTCGTAATGATGTTATCTCATGTTCGAATTAATGAAGATTAATTTATTGGAATATCTGCAAAAAACTCAGTCTTTGGCATTAGCTAGATTTTGACAGCAATATCTTTTAAGATTTTGCTTTAAGTCTAGCACGGCTGATTTTTTTTTAAATTATTCCATTAAGAAAAATTAATATAACATCGTCCTTTTTTTCTTATCCTTTAAATTTTCGCAATTCTTTAAAAAAAGTCTTATAATTCGGTCTTTAAACACAACCCAGAAAATAAACATATGGGTGTTATTCACCCACGATTATAGTTAGGAAAATGCTCGAAAATAACTTAAAGAAATCAATGATTACAGGTTTGTTAGTCCTTGAAGACAATTGTAAAAATCCACGGTTATAGCTTTTATAATCCTTTAAATAATATAAAAACCAAATGAGGTACTAAAAAAATAATTTGAAACACTCTTTTAACATTTTACCTCTAAAACAAGTAAGCAAAGGCTATAGTCTTGCGGGGCCGACCATGTGATACCCTACAACACTACAATATGTTAGAAGCCCCCTTATATCCAAATCCATCTTGGAAGATTTCGCTTTTGAAATTATGTGACGGAGCACTGCCCAGATATTACCCTTAGCATTTTGACCAGGGACATTTGCCCAATATTTACGCACTCCGTCGTATTTTGCGATCATCTCCAAAAGCAAGAGGCCCCTCTGTATCTCCAAATTTAGACTCTTCTATACGATCGTCTTGTCTACGATATTTGGCTATATTCGTCAACGAAATCAGCAAAAAAAGGCAGAAGTTCGTATTTTGTGTATTTCGGCTATCGACTGTAAGTAATGTTGGTATTTTTCAGACAAAAGTAGTGGTCCATTCTACACGCTGTCCTAAACTCTCTTTATGACCTTTTTAACGGCTGCAAAATCAGGAACATTTTAGTCGTCCATTTCAACCCCTAAATATATTGCGGACATCTTTGAAAACAATAGGCCTAGCCCTTCTGAGCCTAACCCTAACCTTTTCGTGAGGATCGGACGATAATTGCAATCTGTATATAATATCCCAAACCTGTGTTATAAGGTGGAAAAATATTACAAAATGTACACCTTAATATTATAAGTCAAATTGAAAAAATCGCATGCGATAAAAAATATGAAAAAAATAAAAAAATTACCAAAAATACTAAAAAATCTATATTAAGACCATGTTTGACTTATTTTTATGCAATTTTTTAGATTTTGTACTTTTATGTCAAGAAGGCATTCTGAATTGACAAAATTTGTCAAAATCTGTCCAGCCATTCTTGAGTTATAAACATTCCATCTAACAATTATTTCGCTATACATATCCGATATATTAACTATCGGCATCTACGTAACGGTCAGAATTGACCTGTTCGTCTATTTATGATTTCGCCGGGATTAAAAATATTCGCGGTTTAATGGAAAATTTTACTTTTATTTAACACAAATGTTATGGTCTATTTCACCCTCTAAAAATTGGAAGACTTCTAGCCACCCCTAAGCTCTAGCCCCATGCTAATTTCCGGGTCGATTGGTCCATAATTGCGACCTGTACCGACCCATTTCGACCTTTAAATATTGTGCTATCATCTCCAAAAGAAATAGGGTTCTATTCTGACCTTATCCCCACCTCCATTCTAAATTTCGTGAAGATCGGGCCATAATTGCGAATGGTAGAGTGATTACAAATTAAAATGGACAGACGGACAGACGGTCGGACAGACGGACGGACGGACATACATATCTAGATCGACTCAGCTCGGCGAGATAGGAATATCCATATATACTTTCCTATGTGGGAAATCAATATTTCGCGGTGTTACATAATTTTTGGCCCAATCAAACTTATAATACCCCCAACACAAAGTGTTGTAGGGTATAAAAATCCTTAAGTATTGTGCTTAAAAATATTAAAAAAAAAACTTTAATTGTGAAAATGCTTACACAAAAAAAAAATTGTTTAATAGTGCATACAAATAAAATAAAAATTAGAATATGCCTTTAAAAACTACCACTATTGTCCTCAAGGTTCTTGACACATAAAAAATAAAAATTATTTTCTAAAAAAATACCTACAACTTTAAAATTCCCTGAAAAAAAAAAAATAAAAAAAATATTCCCTAAATTATTTTACAATTATTCTTTAAACCCACGAATAAAAATCTCATAGTTTCTTTAAAATTCTAAAATAAAATATTGCGATAATAGTTTTGGTAATCCAAACAATATTCACATAAAAATGCACCATTATAAAACTATATTCTTAAAATAATGATCTTGAAAAGAAAGGACGACGATAAAGTCTTAAAAGAAGTCCCGATATTTTTTAAAAAATAAAATTCTGATAATTGCTATTACAGTCAGCTAAGTTCGACTGGGCCAAACATTTTATACCCTCCACCATTCGAAAGGAACTTGAAATTTTTCAAAAAAAAATCCGTCGAAAAATACCGTTTAAATGAAAACCTTTATACGTGGTGCTGTATAAGTATGCTGCATGAATACGAAATTTGACGCAATTCCGGTGAATAACGTCGGGAAAATCGTGGAAATACCGAATATCTCGGGGTAGCGTTATGTGGTTGCTATACTGAAACGTAGACCTATATAGACAATTTTCTTTCAGGTGGTAAATTACTCAGAAGGAACTTCTTGTGTGGATTTTCAGACTGTTCCATTAAAAATGTGGCTTAAATCATCGAAATACCGTATATCGGGGGCAGTATTGTATGGGGGCTATACGATATCGTTCACCCATATAAAAAATTCTCTGTCAGGGGGTAAAGTGTTCACAGAGAACTCCTTGTGTAGAATTTCAGACAATGCCTTTAAAAAATGTGACTTAATTCATCAACGTACCGAATATCGTGAACGAAATACCTCATCTTCGAACTTAACCTGCATGCAGACAAAAGACAGATCGGTGCAAAAATTTAGCTTCCTATCTTTATTCGTTTTGACTTTAGCGTGATTACAACAGACGGACGGACGTCTTAGAATTTTACACTTATCAAGAATATATATACTTAGCTGAGTCTAAAATTATTATTTCGATGGGTTCCAAACGGAATGACGAACTTAATATACCCTCCATACTATGCATAATGAAGGGTATAAAAATATATTCATTAAAATTGACAAATTTATTTCTTAAGGTTTTTAACTAAATAATTTTCAGAATGCATAATTAGCTAGAATCCATAACGAACTACAAATACAAATTTGTTGACAAGTCCGTTGAAAAATGTGGCTAAAGCTATCAAAATACCAAATATCGGAAGCTACACAAAAACGTGGACCTATAGAACCAATGTTCTTTCATCGAAGCTGGAACCTATTACAAACAACAAATGCAATTTTTAGACAAAACCGTTTAAAATATATGGGGGAGGCGGGGAGGTACCCTAATATGGGGCTATACGAAAACGTGGACCTATATATACAATATTCTGCCGCTGAAGCTAGAACCCATAACGAACTACAAATACCGAATTTTAAACTGATACCTATAGAAAATGTGGCTAAATTCACTCAAATTATTAATATCCGAAGGTACCGTTATATTGGGGGTCCACACGAAAACGTAGGCCGATATATCTTATTTCATCTTATCTTGTCAACCATCCTAAACACAAGCTCTAACGTCACATAATATTGCCTGTATCTTAATTTCAACAGAGAGATGGACATCGTTAAATCGACTTAGAATTTTACGCGGAACAGGATCTCCAAATTTTCAATCGTGGAGTGAATGAATAGGGCAAGGAATAAATAATATTATTTTAGTCATTTATTCCGACTCAGACTCTTATTCCTACAAAATGGTCCAAATCCGGCTTCCACTTTGACTCCGCAAGACTGGTTCCGAAAGTTGTTAAAAATATGTCAAGAAAATTCCGAAATTCATTAAAAATATTCTCTTAAAATCTATATCTATAAAAGAGGAAAATGTTTGTATGTTTGTTTGTTTGTAATTTATGGACTCGAAAACCGCTGAACAGATTTTCCTGAAAATTTGCATGTACCAAATTATATTGAAATCGGTTCAGATTTGGATATAGTTCCCATATATATTTTCAACCGATTTCATGTATTTGATGCACCAAACACGATAATTTCAATGAAATATGGAATGTGTAGCGGAAATTAAAACTAATATACATTTGTCAAATTATATTGAAATCGGTTCAGATTTGGATATAGCTCCTATATATCTTTAACCGATTTCGTTTATTTGATGCACCAAACACGATATGTATGTTCGATTCCAAAAAAATTTGGAATATGTGACGGGGTTTTGATTAGAAAATAAATTAGTCAAATTATATTAAAATCGGTTTAGATTTGGATATAGCTCGCGATATATTTTCCGCAGATTTCATATATTTGATGCACAAAACACGATACGTATTTCCGATTGCAATGAAATTCGCCATGAGTGACTAAATGTGGTACAAAAATAAATTTGACAAATTATATTCAAATTCGCTCAGATTTGATTATAGCTCCAATATATATTCTCGGCCGATTTCACATATTTGACGCACCAATTTCAATGAAATATGAAAGCTGTGGCGCAATTTGGTGTAAAAATTAATTTTTTAAAATTATATTTAAATCGGATCAGATTGGGATCTGATTTTAATAAGAACCATTGATCCACAACGCCTTAGGCTAACACTAAAAAACAGCACAACAATTACTTTGAAATACGCTTATTTCGGGGAAGTATGTTGCTACCTCGAATTCACTAATTGTAATAGAAATGGCAATCAACTACAAAAAATTGCAGTTTCCTGCACGCTTGGTATTTGCTATGAAATTAATTAATCCAAAGGACAAACCCTTCGTGTATGCATGTCCTGTTACTGCTTTTCTAATGGTTTTGTTTATTAACGCATTAAAGTGGTGCAATATATATTTTTTTTAATTTTTAAATTTGTTTTTTTATTATTTTATATTTGTAAATAAAATTTTGAATGCATATAAAATCAAAAGGGGTAGCGAAGCGCACCGGGTTCAGCTAGTATGCTTATAAAGAACCTGGCAAACCATTCTTAAAAGTCCACCAGTATTGCCTATGAGTTCATGAAGAATACTACAGAAATCCACGATTATATGAAAGTCTTTTCAACATTGTTAAAATACAAAAACACTATTAATCGTAAAAACTCACAATTAGTCCCTCTTTTAGGCTTCATGCATAACTCTTCTTATTTCAAGCATACTTTTCAAAATGTTTCTCTAATTCAAAGATCTTTTGGAGCTGTATTCACTTTGAATTAATATTTAAAATTTGAATTTTATCCACAATCACCATTACTCACCCTTAACCACCGACCCTCTTTGCAGATATGTGATAACCGAACTTCTTCAATCAGATCTCCACAAAATAATTGTTTCGCCGCAACATTTATCTGCCGATCACATCAAAGTGTTCCTGTATCAAATTCTACGTGGTCTCAAATACTTGCATTCTGCTCGAATACTGCATCGCGACATCAAACCGGGCAACTTGTTGGTCAACTCCAATTGTGTACTGAAAATATGCGATTTTGGTTTGGCTCGCGTCGAGGAGCCCGACCAGACGAAACACATGACCCAAGAGGTGGTAACACAATATTATCGAGCACCTGAAATTCTAATGGGTGCACGACATTATTCCTCGGCGGTAGATGTGTGGTCGGTGGGTTGCATTTTTGGCGAGCTGCTGGGACGCCGTATTCTCTTCCAAGCTCAAAATCCTGTACAACAATTAGATCTCATTACCGAATTGCTGGGCACACCGTCGAGGGAGGATATGCGTCATGCCTGTGGCGGAGCTCGATCACATATGTTGAGGCGTGCCCCCAAGCCGCCGTCGTTTTCAGCTCTTTACACCCTAAGTTCACATGCCACACACGATGCAGTGCATTTGCTATGTCAAATGTTGGTATTTGATCCTGTAAGTCGAAATGGTTGATGGATGTTATTGGATGTCATTTAATTTGATTGTGTATGTGTTTTAATTTTACAGGATAAGCGTATTTCTGTGACGGATGCATTGGCCCATCCATATTTGGACGAAGGACGTTTGCGTTATCATTCATGTATGTGTAAATGTTGTTTCACCACACCGGCCGGCATGAGACAATACACAAATGATTTTGAGCCTTCAGCCGGTCAGGCATTCGATGATCTGTGGGAACGAAAACTGACATCAGTACAACAGGTTAAAGGTAAGTTCGCCCGAATATTTATTTTTGTATATCCTCAGCTGGTCTAAAAACGTTTGAGATGGTTTATTTAAGGCATATATAAAAGGATTTTTCAAATTTTATGTAGCATTTTTATAGCATACCATTAGGCGCTCCAAACAATTTTTAAAATAAACAGAAACTATATGTTATTAGGCTATACGCAATCCAATGCTAAATTCTAGTTAATTTTTTATTTTCATTCAAGAACCTTTCGAAAGTGTCTAAAAGTATGATATAAATCTGACAGAGTTCACATTGGACGATAGTTCTCATTATTAAAAATCTAATAGTTTGCCTTTTGTTAGACGTTTCGGGTAGAAGTGAGCCGATATTATCCATTTCGCAACTCTCTTTGAAGTTATGCAATACATATGAACACTCTTTGGAAGGAATATGTTAAGTACAGGAATCTGAACAGGACTTTGATAATAATTATTGATTACGAACAGGCCTTTGAATTCCACAATTGAAAAATAGGGCTCTGTAAAAAAGTTCATCTAAAAAGGAGAGTTCCACAGAAAAAAATTCTGAGACATGCTGCTCTGATGAGCATTTAACGGCAGCTAATGTAGAAGACCTCCTGTTAATACCCTACACAAAGTAGCATCATCTAAGGTAGGCGACTCTATGTTAAGGCTTTTGAACCTAGCTACTTAGATATTTGAGTATCTGATAGCAACTACTCAAAACTAGAGCAGCCTTCGAGACAATCAAATAAAAATAGAAATCACCAAAGCGAGTTACTTTTAAATTTAATCCTATAAATCCAGCTAACCTATAGTAAAAGTCTTTAAGTCGACCTTATCTTTGGTTATGGACTCTGAGAATGTGTTATTTGTAAGGGGTCCCAGTGGTTAAAGAGGAGCTTTCTATAGTCAGGTTATGTAATTTATATTGTCCTGTTTCCCTTTGACTTAAGCTTCTCTTCACTTGTAGCCTCCGAAATTAGTTAATATTGAACAAGTAAAAAAGCTGTAAGTTCGGCCGGGCCGAACTTTTAATACCCTCCACCATTTGGTACAAATTTGGCAATTTCCAAAAAATAAAACCCGTTAAAAATTCTGTTAAAATCATAAAAATGCCGAATGCTTATACGACGACGTGGGCCTGCATAGGCAACTTTTGTCATAAATTATTACAATATTTAAATGCGAAACTTGAAGAGAAATCTGTTTATAATGTAGCTAAAATCATCAAAATACCGTATATCGGGGGGTACCGTTATATGGGGGCTATACGAAGACGTGGACCTGCACAGACAATTTTCTGGCATGGGCTGAAGTATCCATTACGAACTTCACATGCGAAATTTGAAACAATCCCTGTAAATAATGTCGCTAAAATCATCAAAATACCGAATATCGGGGGGGATACCGTTATATGGGGGCTATATGAAGACGTGGACCTACATGGCACATTTTTTTACTTTGGATGTTGTATCCATTACGAACTTCAAATACCAAATTTGAAACGATTCCGGTAAACAATGTCGCTAAAATCATCAAAATACCGAATATCGGGGGGATACCGTTATATGGGGGCTATATGAAGACGTGGACCTACATGGCACATTTTTTTACTTTGGATGTAATATCCATTACGAACTTCAAATACCAAATTTGAAACGATTCCGGTAAACAATGTCGCTAAAATCATCAAAATACCGAATATCGGGGGTACCGTTATATGGGGGCTATATGAAGACGTAGACCTATATGGCTCATTTTTTGATTTAGGATGTAGTATCCACTACGAACTTCAAATACCAAATTTGAAACGATTCCGGTAAACAATGTCGCTAAAATTATCAAAATACCGAATATCGGAGGGTACCGTTATATGGGGGCTATATGATAACTTTGACCTACATGGCCCATTTACGAACTTAACCTGCCTACTGGGCCTACTGGCCTACGGACAGACAGACACACAGACACACAGACAGACAGACGGACATGGCTAAATCGTCTTAGAATATTACGCTGATCAAGAATATATATACTTTGTTGGGTCTGACATGAGTATTTCGAGGAGTTACAAACGGAATGACAAAATTAATATACCCTCCATAGTATGGTGGAGGGTATAAAAAGGGGCTCAAGGAGATCTAAAAAAATAAAAGTGCCCTCTATGGCTACGTTATATAATGTACCGACGTTTGAGGTTATCCACTCAAATGCAGAGGTCTCTAAAGGTCGGGTACTTTAATGAAGTGACATCTAAGGCCAGGTACAGTGACTAAACTCGAATCGATAATATCAGTCTTTAGAAATGGCCTCTAAAACCAGATACCCTAAATATAAAGATTTCGCAGAACAATTTAACGAAACAGAGAAATATATAGCCAGATTATTTAAAGTAGTGGCATTTTGAGGTCAGCTGTTCTAATGTCCCAGATGAGTATTATTCTTAGGTAGCAGTATTTAACGCCACCTAAATAATAAAGCCTTCATAAAGTAGTGTAATCTAAGATAAAGCATCTGTAGGTTTAGGCCTATCAACGAAGCTACTCAGATGTAGGGGTCTTTGAAAGTAATTACTCAAAAGTTGAGGAGTATTCCTGTAGTAGAGACTTGTAAGACCAGCAATTTTAAAATTTGAGGCAGCCTTAAAAACTAAGACAATATTAGGCCTGGTTATGTAAAAGCCTGGTTATATAAAGGTCTCCGAAGCCAGATACTCAAAGTCCAGCCCTTTAGTCCAGCCCTTTATATGCGTTGAATTGAACATTGACTATTAGAGTCATTGGTAAAGTTACTTTTTCCACAATTTTGTGTAGCAATTTTATAGCATAACTTTAGATCTGAAAAGAAATGCTTTCGAATTGAATATAAATATGCTAAAAGTATAGAATTAACAAAATAGCATAGCATAGCGTAACCTTTAAACAAAAAAATTGTTTGGAGGTCCTTAAAGTATGCTATAAAAATATAAAATTTGAAAAAGTCTCATATGACTCTAACATAATTTCTAAACAGACCTTAAGGTGGAGACAAGTATATCCAGCTTAAATAATACACAAGCCTATGATACTAGTGACTCAAAGTAGATACATCTAGTGTTGATAAAAATACTGGAATATACTAAATTAGGAGAATTTTGCCCCTTTCAAAGGTAGATTTCAGAAGGCGATGTCCAATTTTGTCGATTTATCTAAACCCAAAATAATTTTAACGACGTGGATAGTCCCCACACTTTATATAAGATTTAAAATTTATTGAAAAATTGAATTTTTGTGGGGGGGGGGGACGATAGTGCCCATATTCGAACCTGATCTGGACTTGCCCGATAGACTTTTGTACATTAACATCGAAAAATAAATATTTTGTAGGTTTAGTTCCTCCCCAAATTGTTTCGAAATGAATTTCGGAATATGTCAATATTTCTCTGCCCGAAATAAGAATAAAGCTTCACAGAAAATCATTTTCTACAATTACTTTGCACATAGCATTAATTGAAGACGAATGTTTTATGTTAAACTTATGAATATGTAAGATAAGATAATATCATGACATCCTTAATATCGACCTTCCCGAACTTGTTATCCATCATAATTTAAAAAATAAACAAGTAAAAAAGCTGTAAGTTCGGCCGGGCCGAACTTTTAATACCCTCCACCATTTGGTACAAATTTGGCAATTTCCAAAAAAAACCGTTAAAAATTCTGTTAAAATCTTAAAAATACCGAATGCTTATACGACGACGTGGGCCTGCATAGGCAACTTTTGTCATAAATTATTACAATATTTAAATGCGAAACTTGAAAAAATCTGTTTATAATGTAGCTAAAATCGTCAAAATACCGAATATCGGGAGGTACCGTTATATGGGGGCTATATGATAACTTGGACCTACATGGCCCATTTACGAACTTAACCTGCCTACTGGGAAAGTATACATGTGTGCATTTTAGCCTTCTATCTCAATTTGTTCGAAAGATAGCGTGATTACAACAGACAGACAGACGGACGGACAGACAGACAGACACACAGACAGACAGACGGACATGGCTAAATCGTCTTAGAATTTTACGCTGATCAAGAATATATATACTTTGTTGGGTCTGGCATGAATATTTCGAGGAGTTACAAACGGAATGACAAAATTAATATACAGTATAGTATAGCCACTCTAATTTACCTTTCTTTACTTTGCAGAGGAAATGCACAAATTCATTGCCGAACAATTACAGACGGGCCGTGTTCCACTGTGTATAAATCCACAAAGTGCAGCATTCAAAAGTTTTGCCAGGTAAGCTATAAATTTTCCTTTACTCCACCCACCTAAAAAAAAAAAAAAACACTTAAATGTAAGTTCTCTAAACCTTAAGCGTCAAAACAATGACTGCGTCCTAAAGAAACTCTTCTAACATAATGTTAACATTAATTTTCTCTCTTATATTACTAAAACCCCTATTTTTTGTACAATATCCTTTTTGAAATCTTCAAAGTAAATTAATTTCTTTTTCTTTAATATTTTGCCTATTGTTATTTTTTATTTCTTTGCAACTACAAAACAAACAAAAACAAAAAATGAAACATAACAATAAAGCCAATAAAATAGCAGAGATCAACTACAAAATAGTTCTACTGCAAGAAACACTGCTGCTGCCGAAACGAATGATGGATCAATGAAATGATCTTCAAAACAAACACACAAGAGAACAGATGTAAAAACTAATAACAAAAAATATGATATTCTAGGCGATTAAAAAATGCATTTAAATGTTTTATAAAAACAACTCAAATAGATATTAAAACTGATCATTTATCGCAGCGCCCAAAAGTATACCTTATCAATTGCAAAAACATCTCAAGAGCTCATCAATTTATGAAATAGTAGACATTGATATGAGTATAGGGCTGAAAATGTTTTAATAATACATTATTGATTTAATTACCGCCTCATCAACAAGCCATGTCTTAGGTGAGCCATTGAATTTTGAACACTTCTCGAGCAAGAACAACAATATTTTAAATTTGTCTTTTCCTAGAAAAAAAAAATAAAAAGAGAATTTAAACAATAGTCTGACCAGCAAAAGAACAGCATAACTGCCCATGTATTTAAACGTTGCTTAAAATAACCTAGTCGTTGACGTCCTTTGTGAATTGTGGCCATAAACAGGAAAGTCAAGTAGGTCAGTTAAATGAATTTATTTGAATTAAATATCCCCTCCCGCCTTCGAAAAAGCCCATTAAATTCTCCCTTATCATTCTGTTTTTATATAGTTTCTTTTTTTGCATTTAACAAAATAATAACATGGAAAGAGAAAAGAATATAAAACAAAAGCACAAACAACAATTTCGTAAAATATTCGTAATTAGTATTGTTTTGCGTCACATACTTTCAGGCGCACACCACATGATAATTATTATAATTTTAACTTTTAATTGTCAGAAAATACATTTTTACCATTTTCCAATTAATTACGCTGACGAATAAACAACAAATTGCAGCAAGTATTTGTTGCACAAATAATTTAATGTGTGGTAAATTGTTAACAACTATTATATAGTTCGTTTTTTTTAATCATGTTAATTAAGAGAAAATTACTGTCATTTGATCTGTAGCCATAAAACCATGTGAATTGTTATTTTTTGGGAAGTGGATCACAACTGCCCATAATTTTTATGGAACACCGAAATGTTGAAGAACGGAAAACGTAGAAGGTGATAAGAAATTGGGAAGAATAAAAAAACTGGGATTGAACAATGTCTGCTGAAAACCAAAAAAAAAAAATATTTTATATATATATTAATATATTTTTTAAAGCGAACTCAGCTTTGGCTTTGTGGCACGTGGCGCCATCTAAAAAAAACAAATGTTGCCAATATACTCCTCTTCAATATTTGTGAACTAAAATCCGTTCAACGTGATCCGATAACGTAACGGCCATTACTTTCTTTTTATACCCTCCACCATAGCATACAGGGTATATTAAGTTTGTCATTCCGTCTGTAACACCTCGAAATATACAGGGTGAGACACCCTCCAGAATATTTTCGAGATAATATTCGGCATTTATTCTGATGCCACGGTCGATTAATACGAGCGGAGAGCGACCATCGGCTGTTATGGCGGCCCACACCATCACCATGGCCGGCGCTTGAGTTATGGTGGCCCACACCGAAGGTGCACATTTTCAGCTGACCTCTTTGGCAAGTAAACACGATCATTTTGTTTGTTTACAAACGGGTGGACGACGAATGTTTTCTCATCAGAAAAAACCAAATTCGGCTGTTCACCACCTTCGGCCAAGCGAAACAACTTTTTACCTCTTTTGAGTCTATTTTCTTTCTGTTGCGGTGTAAGTTCTTACACTTTTTGGAATTGCAATGGCCTTACCCCGAGCTCATTTTTCTATATTTGCCGAATGGAATATTGCGATATGTTCAGCTCACGAGCCATTTTTCGGCCACTGCGATGCAGGTTTCGATCAAGTCGCTTCTTTATTTTTAGAACCATGTCTGCTGATGTTCCTTGACGTCGGGCTACGCTACCAGTATCACGGTAACGAGCGATGGTACGAGACACAAAAGATTTATTCACATTTAAATGCTGGAGTGCTCTAAGGATAGCCACTTGTAGGTTTCCAGCCAAATATAAAGACATCACACTATCACGCTTGAATTTCAATACGAATAACTTATTTTCTGGAAAATTCTCACCAAAATGCTTTTGTACGCTTGTAAACAATATAATGAGCTATCACTGGAATAATTTTCAAAATTTGGCAACATAATTTATATTGTGCTTTGGATGATTAGTATTGAAAATGAGATATATCGGTCGACATTTTGGTATAGCCGCCATATGTACCTCCCGTTATTCGGTATTTTGATGATTTTCGCCTCATTTTTTTCACGGATTTGTCTAAAAATTGTTATTTGTTGGGTTCTAGTTCCGGTGGCGGAACATGTATATACAGGACCACGTTTTGGTATAGCATCCATATAACGGTACCTCCCGATAGTCGGTGTTTTGATGATTTTTGCCACATTTTTCCACGATTTGTCCAACAATTGGTATTTGTAGATCGCAATGTGTTCTAACTCCGGTGGCGGACCAAATGACCTGAATTTTGGCAATTCCGACTGAATTCATCGCCAGAAAAAAAGTACTTAAAGATTAGTGAAAATCGGTGCAGATATAGCTCTAGCTCCCATATATATGTTTCATCCGTTTTGAGGTTTAAGTCTCTCACATTCATAATATACACTCCACATCAATGATATTTGATACCGGATATCAGATGCAGCTTAGAAATAGCTCTGCCTAATTTTATCAAGTTCGGTTCAGATTGGATGTACCTCCCATATATATCTTCAACCGATTTCGGGTTAATTCTTCACCAAATTGCCAGTCCAAATGACCTGAATTTTGGCACATCCAACCGAATTATGGCTAGAAACATGTATTTAAAATTTGGTGAAAATCGATTCAGATATAGCTATAGCTCCCATATATATATATATATATATATATATATATATATATATATATATATATATATATATATATATATATATATATATATATATATATATATATATATATATATATATATATATATATATATATATATATATATATATATATATATATATATATATATATATATATATATATATATATATATATATATATATATATATATATATATATATATATTTCATCAGATTTGGTGTTAAATTCCCTCACATGCGTAATATGCACTCCACAACAATGAAATTTGACATCGGGCATCAGATACCGCTCGAAAATACCTCTTTTATCGAGATCAATTCAGATTTTTGACATAGCTTCGATATAAATCTTCATCCAATTTTACGGTTATTGCTCACCATATATGTAATATCAGGCCAAATTGAATAGATTTTTTTTTTATATTCAACGGAATTTCTCCATTTGGTGAAACTCGGCCCGGTATATCTATTGCTCCAATAAATATTTTTTAATATAATTCTTATCGAAGTCATATTCTGCACTATATAGCAATGTTATTTGGATCATACTTGGTATGATCTACTTCACTTAAATTTCCAATATAAACGTTTTTCTTACGGGAGCTCTACTAGATATGAATAGTGGTGTAGGGTATCATATAGTCGGCCCCTCCTGACGTTTGACCTTTCCTTCCTGGTTTTACAATAATTTTTTGCTCTAAAAAACAAGTTTTTCATAATGAAATCAATCAATCGAAAAAAAAAATATGTTTTATTAAACACTTTTTCGATTTTATTGTACACTTTTGTAAATTTAAAAACAATTGACAATAATTTTCTTTTAATTATTAAATAAATCCCATAAAAATGTAAAAATTGTTCATATCCCTTAATTTTTTTTCTCAAAATTTACCATCAACAAAATATCATATTTCATGCTTCTTCTTACTAATAATTAATTCCAATTAATGATTTATGTGTGTGTGTATGTTAATGATGACAATGACAATTGCATACATCGTTTCATTCATATTTAAATACGTTTTCGTTGAAATCGTTTGTAAATAATTATTTTATTCATATTCCTGTTGTGACTAAACTTTCAATTATTAACCGCATTTAATATAAATACTATAACGTAAATAAATTTTTGTATTTTTCCATTCTAAATGTTAATTAATAATTTAATGATAATAAAATGTGTTTTTCTCCTTTTTTGTTTTGTTTTTTGATTTTTTGTTGAATTTTATGATTTTTTAAATAAAAAACTTATCATTTATTGTCCCTAGTTTAACATCGACGAAATTATAATGCTAGAGAAAATCAGTCAGAGAGAGAGAGAGAGGGTGAGAAATTAGAGAACCCCCAAAATCAACGGCACATAAATTCATGACTTCACATCCACCATTCATCGATTGACCAATTAATTAGAGCATCCATCGTCCGCCCCGCCCCCTGTGTTTCGGAATGCATCCACCATCAACCACCTTCCCCCTACTACTCATCCCAGAGTGTCAATTTTGTTTTTGAACGTCGCAAAAGCAGCAGTGATTATTGAGTAGAATTATTTTGTTGTAACGTTTTATCGACTTTTACATCATTAGTAGGCTTGACCAAAGCTTATTGCTAAAAATTGTTTATTAAATTTAATTGTTTTTAAAATTTTTTGTAACAATCGTTTACATCTAAGGTCAAGTCTTTATATTTAGAGCCATGTCATAATATATAATTCTCTAAATAATTTGGTTTTTTAAATTATTTTTTCCTATACAATAAATAGTTTTCGTAAATTGTCATTTTTACCGGCATATATTTGCATTTTTTTTTTTTTTTAATTTTAATCTGTCTTAATATAAGTAAATAAATTACAAATAACGTTCGTCTTAGTATATTATGTGACTTCAAATCAAATTGTAAATATAAAAAGAGAATCTTAATAAAAATGTATATGCTGTCCTTTTTTACAATATTATTTGTTTTTGTATGCAAATTTATTGATATTTATATTATCGAAATAATTGAGTTATGGAAAAATCAGTGATTTCCCTAATACTAAGCCTCGGTTGTGGTTATGCGAAAAAAACTGTATTCATAGGTCTTACACTCAAACTTCTAAAATCAAGAGGGACATTTCGGACACTTCCCGTCCATGAAAAATATTTATCTTTTATTATCAATATCCGCTGATATTACATATATGGTGGATAATAACCGTAAATACAAACAAAAATCTGAACCGATCTCGATAACATTTGCAAGAGGTATTTTCGAGCAGTATCTGATGCCCGGTGTCAAATATCACTGTTGTGGAGTGCATATTACGCATGTGAGGGAATTTAACCCCGGATGATGGGAGCTTTAGCTATAACTAAATCGATTTTCACCAAATTTTAAAGAATGAATTCAGTCGGAATTGCCAAAATTCATAGCCATTTGGTGTACAATTAACCCGAAATTGGTTAAAGATATATATGGGAGCTATATCCAAGTCTGAACCGATCTTGATAAAATTTGACAGAGGCATTTTTGGGATGTATCTGATGTCCGGTATCAAATATCCATGTTATGGAGTGCATATTACGCATGTGATAGACTTTAACACCAAATCGGATGAAACTTATATATGGGAGCTATAGCTATATCTGAACCGATTCTCACTCAATTTGAAGAACTGAATTCCGTCGCAAGGGCCAAAATGCAGTCCATTTCAGCTGATATTAGCCATTGAGGCACAATAAACCTGAAATCGGATAAAGATATATATGGAAGCTATATTCAAATCTGAACCGATCTTGACAAAATTTTAGCCACTTATTTCTGAGCTGTATCTTATATCTGGTACCAAAGATCATTGTTATGGAGTGCATATTACGCATGTGGTGGACTTTAAATCCCCAATTGGGATGAAACATAGATATGGGAGCTGCAGCTATATATGAACCGATTTTCATCAAATTTAATTTACTTGCTTCTAGGCTGAATTCGGATTTGCCAAAATTCCGGTCATTTTGACTGATATTGGCCATTTGGTGAACAATTAACCCATAATCGGGTTAAAATTGAACCGATTCTCATTAATTTCAATAGGGTTCATCTTTGGGCCAAACAAATATTGTTTGGAGAATTTCATTTCAATTGGATATTAAATGCGACCTGCATTTTGTTCACTAAAATACATGGACGGACGAACGGACAGATGGACTTACATGCATAAATCGACTCAAAAAGTGATTCTATGAAGATCCTCAAATGTATCTATGGGACTATCTCGCTTTCTTCTCCATGTCACAAACATATGCACAAAGACATAATACCCTTTCCACTATGTGGTGTAGGGTATAGATAGGCGTTGTCGGTAATTGTCGTTAATTCAGCCGTTAAATAATACCCGAATTGCACTGCTCTACTAATTTTAAATTTGTGTGCTATTTACCAAGCTGTTTTTCACAAAATATGCATATACGGTATCAGTTATCGCAATTCTATTTCCGAAAAGTCTCATTAACTTGGTCATGACTTGGACTAGTAGTTTAATCGCAAGATTACCAGGTAGAATATTTAGCGCTCTATTTTGAATTTATTTTGTATTTATACACTACAATTTTTGTTTTTCATTGACAGAATAAATCACATTTCCAACATTGTTATATACATATACGTTTCAATATTTATATTTTCTATAGTTAAAAGATGTTTTTGAGGGAAAATGTTGGAAATAATTATGAGATTTTCAGTCTATTTAAGGCTTGTTTACACATCATGCTAGAGTTGTATGTTAAGCGATTCTTCAAAAATTTATATTAAGCATATTTAAAGCATACTTTTTGGCGCCCCCAACAAAATTTATCTACAGTATACAATATAAACAAGTTAAAAAGTTCAGCCAATGTTCGATTATTTATATATTTTGACTTCTGTTATGATTATTCAAATTGTTGAGCCTCTACGGAGTAGGTTTCGAAGGAATGGGCCAATATTGTGCATTTGGTATCGGACCTAAATAGATATGATATAATTATTGCAACGTGCCAGGTTGGGACTATAGACTTCTTTCTTCACTCCCTTCATTTTATATGAGATATGTGACAATTTTTAGAAAATCTTAAAATGTGCGTGATGTACCAAATATGGTAGACCGCAGCATTCCATTTTCACACTTCATCTCATACAGATAAAAATATGGGAAAAATTACAAGAAAATCGAATATTTATATAAAATTTTATGCGAGATCATAAATTCCATATTCATCTAAAGTTTCTGGTTAAGTTAAATTATTGAAAATTATGATCCTATGTGGGTGAGGTACCTCTTCTAGGGTTCGAAGATATATATCATCTTCACAAAAGATCATGTGTTAGCAAGAATATTTGTATGTGTGAAATTTGAAGAGTGTTAAATCTTTATTTCGCTTTCTCTGAGCGTTTTGTTTTCCAAAACCTTGAACCCTATGTGTGGGAGGTACCAGAAGGAATGGTCCGATCTCTTCCATCTTTATTACAGATGGAAATGATGGAAATATTGGAATGTACCAAATCTGAATGAAATCGGATGTTAGCTTCGCGTTTTATGAGATTCATGGATATTCAAAATTTTGACCCTTAGTGGGGGAGGTACGAGAAGGAGTGTACCAATATATTCCAAACTCTACACAAAACCTTTGGTTAATAAAAATATTGTGATTTGTGTAATTTGAAGACAATCGTCATTCATCATCACATTTTATAAGAGTTATCATTATAAAAAAATTTTGACACTTTGTGGGAGAGGTACTTGATGGAGGAGATCGATATTGTCCATATTCGCACCTGACCTAGCACTGATGCAAATATTAGGATTTATAAAGTTGAGCAAAATCGGGTTATCCTTTCCCTTTCTGTGCAGTAAATTATTTTCTTTGAAAATGTCTACCTTTTGTTGGGGAGGTACCCGAAGGAGTGGACCGATATTGCCCATCTCCGAACGTGATCTAGGTTTGATAATAATATTACGATGGACCAAGTTTGAAGCAAATCGGACCAGCCAGATAGACGGACGGATAGACATCGATAGATCGACTCCAAATATCCTGAAACGGATTTGGTCTAAAAGATACCTAGGATCTAAAACCGTTTTTCGATGAGGCACGTTTTGGCCGTATCAAATGATATATACCCTCTCTAGCCATATGGCTGAGGGTATAAATACGCCATTTGAATAATTTCCTTTATATCTTTGAGGCTAAACGAAGATCATTAAAATATCGAAATCTTTGTATAGACCCCTCATATGGGATGATTTGATGATTTTAGCGTCATGTGGAACTGCACACAAAATGTTTTGTCATAGGCTCTACTACCAGTTATGAACTTTGAATACGAAATTTGAAATCATTCGGGTGAATAATGTCGCTAAAATCATCAAAATACCGAATATCGGGAAGGGTACCGTACCAAGGCATGGACCTCCATACGAAATTTCTAAGCATAGGCTGTAGCACTCATTACGAATTTCAAATACGAAATTTGAACAATTCGTGTGAATGATGTCGCTATAATCATTAAAATACCGTATATAGGGTAGTGCCGTTTCATGGCGGCTATACGAAAACATGAACCAACACGGCCCATTTACGAATTTAACCTGCCTACTGGCAAAATACACATGTGTCAAAATTTTAGTCTCCAATTTCAATCCGTTCGAAAGATGCGTGATTACGACAGACAGAAGCACAGGCTGACATACAGAAATAAAAAATATATAAAAACTTTGTAGGTTCTATCTTGAATATATCGAGGAGTTAGAAACGGAATGACAAAGCTAATATAACCTCCATAGAATGGTGGATGGTATAAAAGCTGTGTAGAGCGCCTCAAAGTATGCTTTAAAAATGTTGAATAAAAATGTGAAACATTACATATAAATGTAACATAATCCTTATTGTTGCTTTATTACTAGTAATGGTAATGAATACAAAGATTCATTTAGTTTGTATCCTTATCGTTATCCTTGCTTTTATTGAATTAGAGTTGGCTAAAAAAATATTGTTGTTTGTGCTTTTTTTATTTTCTTTTCTATTTAAAAAAAAACAACTAATGTAAACCTAAATTAGAAATAGTAACTTGTTATTGCGTGAGTAAAAACGATTTTATTAAATTATTTCTCTATATTTACAGTTCAACAGTGGCACATCCTTCCGAATTGCCACCATCACCCCATCAATGGGAATGACGGCAAAATGAGGCCATAGCAGCCTAAAATTTTAAATTTTAAATAGTCCATAGTAATGCAAACAAGAAAAAAATAATAATAAAATGCCAGCAAATCTACAAAATACAACTACCTACATCTTTAGCATACATACATACATCATAACTACATACATCTACTATCGCAACTTTCCACAACCACAAAACTTCCATATAAACGTGATTTTGTAACCAAGAAGAAACGAAGAAGAAGACAAACAACAACATCTAGGACAACATTGCAACAAAGCAAGCAAGCAAGAACCATTTTTAAGCATAAGACTAACAGCATATATAGAAAGAAACCACCAGCCCTCCTTCAAAATTAAAAAAAGAAATGAAAACTATAACATGAAAATTCCACATCAAAAGGACTCTAGCAGAAGAAGAAAAAACCTACTGAGAAAGAGAGTAAATGGAAAGATTTCTTTCTTACAAAGGATACACCAGTTTGTTTTTTCACTTAACTACGAAACCACGAAGAAACTCTGAAACAAGCCGTAAGCAACTCTGCTAATGAATGAAAGCTGCCACAATTAAAAAAAAAGACGACGAACGAGCCAAGTAACTTTCATGCCACTACTTAAAGAACAGGATGTTAAAATAAGTAACCAGAAGAAATCATTCCACCACCGATAATTTTTTAACAAAAAAAAGAAAAAAACGAAACAATGAGAAGAAGAAACTCACACACACACACACACCAATCAAAAAAGTATATCAATTGAGAAACGAAAAAAAAAACAATTAAATAAAAATTAAACTCAAAACTAGTAGAAAAGCAGAAAAAACAAAAGAGGAGCAAAGAATATGCCACAAACAATACAGGAGTATAACTACTATCAAACGCACTAACAACAACAACCATTAAATACAACTAGTCTTAGTCCTTCTTTTTTATAACAAAACAAAACAAAAAAATAACAACAACAAAATATGTTAATGGATGCCAGCTGAGTAAAATTTCATCACTGAAACTTATTTGGATATTCCAAAAGCAAAGAAGGGAATATTCAAATTGAGCGAATATTCAACTTTGTAATAATTAATGTAGAACACAAAAGCATTAACAAACTAAATTTCGAAAAACAAAACTACTTTATAATAATTGTAAACACATGTAGAAAAAAATGTTTTTTTTTAATTCAAACTCTTGTCTCTATGTAAATCTAAAACAAAAACTCCAAACTTTTGGAACCCTAATATTTTTTCAGAAAACAAACACACATCCACACAAAAAAAAGAAACTTCTTAGTTTTTCTCTACTATACAAACAAAAAAAAAGCAAACACAACAAGAAAATTAAACAAGTTTTAGATAAAATTCCAAAAAAAAAATTAATTTATTAAATTTCAAAGCCCATTTTTTTAAAAACACATAATTTTTATATTCACGTAATTTTTATTATTATATTAAAAACGTATTTGTAAATTACTTTACCCTTTGTTTCAAGAGTCACTGTAAAAATATTTAGAAAACCAATTCCAATTTTGGATGACTAGGGGAAAACGGATGTAAAAAAGTCAAAACCAAATATGGCTTCTATGCTTTCAAAATCTTTTAAATATAGCCCAATTTTTGGATATAGAGCCAATATATTGAGTCATTTACAATTTGTTTTCGGCACTTCGTAAATGTTGTAGATGATGTCCGGATGAAAATAAAATTAGGCATGGAAAAATTGTATTTTCATTTAGAGTATAAATTTTTTTCATAAGAAGTCTTTTGACTCACATAGAAATTGAAATTTGTATCAAACCAATCACAAGTTCTGGCAAGAAGAAAATTAACAATTTTGAACCTTAGATTAAGAATGGGAATTAATGCAAGAAGACATTAAAATGAAATCCTTATCTCATTTCCGCAAGGAGTGGAAAGTAAATGTATTATTCGAGTACAAAACAGACAGTCTTGGAAATTGAATATATATCTTAAGAATATTTTTGCTAGCCTCCACCTGCTACAGAAAGTAAAGAAAAATTGGAATAGTTTTCAAGGGTGTAGTCCTCCGAGTAGAACCCTTATACCACAGGAAAACAGATGTAAACCAAATATGACATAAAAAGCCCAATTTTCGGATATAGAGTCAATCTCTTAAAACGTTTGAAATTTATTTTCCCATGTTCGTAAATGTTGTAGCTGATGTTTGGAAGAAAAAAAAACGTTCTATAATTCATAGGCCGACTTAAATTTTAATACAGAAGATTTTTTTTATAAAAAGTTTTCTCAGGCAGATCGAAATGGATGTTTGTATCAAAAAAGTGGAAAGTTCTGCCGACAAGAAAATATTGGTTTGTTCAACTAAATCCTTAACTCATTTCCCAAAGGAGTGGAAAGTAAATTCGTATTTTTCAGCTTTAAAAGAGACAATGAGGCCGAAAGGCTCAAAAGGAAAACACCCAAATGTTTGATTTTTGCCAACATGTAAACGAATTTAATATTTTATCTTACAGAAGCTATGCCAATATCTTCAAAAGGGCGTAAGGTCAATTTATTTAATAATTATGTCTTAAAACTAGAAACACACAGATTGAATAGGTCCCAACAATAAAAGGTATTTTTTTAAATAAGCTTTTCTTAAGAGCTAATTTTTGCTCAAGTTTCTCCAATCTACAACTCCCCACTTGCCATTTATTCATTTCGATATATCCTTTAGAAATAATGCCCGCCTATTCCATTTAGGCGACCAAAAGTTGTCTTTAGTGCACGTTTAGCCTACTAATCCACTCGAATTTCAAATGTCAATTCCATAGGGTATATGTCAAAAATTATTCACTGGATTTATGAATACGATTTATGTGACGTTTTTTAATAAGATTTTTTGTGAGCTAATTTTTGCTTAAGTTTCTCCAATCAACAACACCCTATTTGCCATTTATTCATTTCGATACATCAAGTTTTTAGAAATACAAAATTATGGCCGCTTATTCCATTCAGGCGAATAAAAGTTGTCTTTAGATTACGTTTAGCCTACTAATCCACTCAATTTCAAAAAATCAAATTGGTTTGATATCGAATTGGTGGCTACGTTTAAATTTTGAAATCCAAACGATTTCAAATATCAATTCTATACCGCATATGTCGAATAATATTAACTGGTTTTATGAATACGAATTATGTGACATATACGCTACGGATTTGATATGTGAAATCGATTGGATTTCAAAATTTAAACGTAGCCACCAATTCGATATCAAACCAATTTTATTGTTTTTTTTTACACATAACGAAATACCAATATCAAATACAGGCGAAAAAAATCGAACAGTACTTCATTTAATTTAAAACAAACACATTCATTTGTTCATCTTAAGCTGAGTCTTTTTTCCAGATTTAAAAGCTATTTGTGGTCTGCATAAAAATATATACATTTTATTAATTATATTTTTTTTTCTAACACAATATTCAATTGTAAATATTATCCATATAACTAGTATACATATATTTAACACGATTTTAATATTTTCTAAATCTTTAATATTTTCTAAAGCACTATTTTTTCTTTAATTTGGAATTTTATCTAAGACAATGTTTTTCTCATCTATAAAACAAACAAAATCACAATAATCATAACTAGAAAAACCAAGAAGCAAACTCTTACTTTTAATATTAATTTGCCAAATTTACCTCAAATTCTTAAAACAAAATATGTAATTACAAATACAATGGTATATATAAAAAGTATATATAAAAACTAAAAAAAAAACAACATACAAAACAAGAAGAAACAAATACATAATAAAACACTATTACGTACATACTACTTATTACCATATTATATAATTAAAAAAAAAAACAACAACAAAGATACAACAAAAATAATTAGTAAACATAAACATGTAAACATAAATGTAAATTTAAATAGAGATTAAAATTCAAATTACACTTCAATAAGTTTTAATGGATTGTAGAAGAAAAAACAAATAACAAAACAAAACACTTTTACTCCTCATAACAAAATATATTTTGGAATTTTTCTCTTCTTACTACAACAACTAAAAGAAAGAAAACAAAAACAACAACAACCGCAAAACAAATGTTTTAAGTAAATTCTATTTTGTATTAGCATAGATTATATGTATATTCTTAAACACATACACTTTACAAGAAAAAAAAGAAGAGATAAACACCTTACGAAAATCTATAGCTTACAAGGCTTTCCATCATTGTTTTTGCATTCTAAGTTTTATGCCCATGTGTTGTGTTTTGATTTGAAAATGAAAATCATTAGAACAAAAAAAAAAGCTTAAACATACACTTTAAAATGAAATACCAAAAACTCGAATGTAACATAATGTTTTTTTGTCCAGTTTTACAATCGGATGGCCTTTACATATACAAGTTGATTCGAAAGTAATCCATTATGGTCAAAAAAAAGGAAATCCAAAATCTTTATAATATGCGGCAAATTTGATATATGATATAAACATTTTACATATATCGAATTTGCCGCAGATTATAAGATTTCGGATTTCCCTTTTTTACCAAAATGTATATTTTATTTTTCATATAGTTATGCATGAAATTCTGCATGTTGTGAGCCCATACGATTGTAATAACTAATCTAAAATAACCAAAATATGTTCACTATCTCTTTTTAGAAGTAAGTTTTCCCTTTGGAATTATAATAATATTGGCATACTAAGAAACATGTAACCAGGGACTCAACTCACGTTCTATGAATTCGAAGGAAGGAAATGTCAATGAAAAAAAAAATAACGAAAATAATTGTCACTTTTAATATTAATAAAAGCCGAACCTAACCCCAGAACAGTTAGTAATTGTTAAAATAAATATAAAACAAGTATGCAAAGGCTATAGCCGTGCGGAGCCGACCATGTGATACCCTACAACACTACAATATGTTAGAAGCCCTCTTATGTCCAAATCCATTTTGGAAGATTTCGCTTTTGAAATTATGTCATAGAGCACTGCCCAGATATTACCCTTGGCTTTTTGACCAGCCACATTTGCCCAATATTTACGCACTTCGTCGTGTTGTTAGTCGTTGTGATCCATTTTACAGCTAAATATAATTCAATGGTCATCCAAAATGCTAGACTTTTCCCGGTCCTTAACTCACTTCTCCTGCAAAACTCCGTGTCGATTGGTTTCAATTGTGTGATCAGGAAAATTTTCTGTTTTTGGTACATTTGAACCCAATAAATATTTTGCGATTATATCTAAAGGCAAGAAGCACCTCTGAATCTCCAAATTTAGACTCATCTATATGATTTGCTTGTCTACGATATTTGGCTATATTCGTCAACGAAATCAGTATAAAAGAAAAAACAGAAGTTCGCCTTTTGTGTATTTCGGTTATCCTGTAAGTGATGTCGGTATTTTTTTCACACAAAGAAGTGGTCCATTCTGCTATCGTAAACTCTAACTTCATGCGATATTTCGTGTCCTTTGGTTTCTATTTGTGACATTTGTAATGGCTGCAAAATCAGGAACATTGTTAGTTGTTGGCCCATTTCAAACCCTAAATATATTGTGGACATCTTTAAAAACAATAGGCCTAGACCTTCTGAGCCTAACCCTACCCTTGTGATTTTTTTGTGAGGATCGGATGATAATTGCTATTTGTATATAATAACCCCAATATGTGTTGTAAGGTGAAGTAAAATTGAAAAATATTAAGTCTAAATTTTCTACTTTTATGCCAAGAGGGCATTCTGAATTGACAAATTTTGTCAAAATCGGTCCAGCCATTCTTGAGATATACGCATTCTACCTAACATCCCCTTCCATTGTATATATATACATTGTATATATTTCGCGATATATATCCGATATATTTACAATCGGCATTTACGAAACGGTCAGAATTGACCTGGAATTAAAAATATTCGCGGTTTAATGGAAAATTTGACTTTTATTTAACACAAATGGTGTGGTCTATTTCACCCACTAAATATTATCCGATATATTCCGCTTAGATTGGTCTATAATTCCAACCTCTATAGCTAAATCATGAAATTTTTCAGATTTTGGTCCATTTAAACCCCTAAATAT